AAAAAAAAAAAAAACCAAACCAAAAAAAAAAAAAACCACCAAGACATATAATAGTCAAGATTCCAGAAAATCAGTATAAGAAAAGAATATTAAAAGCTATTAGAGAAAAGAAAAAGAAACAAATCACCTATAAAGGAAAGCCCATAGGAATCACAACAGACTTTTCAATGTATACTCTCAAGTCAAACAGCTTGGAGTGAAGAATTTCAAGCCCTATAAGAAAACCACCTCCAACTCACACTGAAGTACTCTGCAAAACTATCTTTAAAAATTGATGGAGAAATAAGATACTTCCACAACAAAGAACACAAGAGGAAATTCATAAACAAGGAAATTCATGAAGCAAGATTCAACAATATGCTGCATATAAGAAACACATTTAATTAAAAAAGAAATTCAGAGACCAAAAGTTAAAGGATGGAAAGCAATACTCCATGTGACAGGAACCCAGAAGAAAGTGGGCATCCTTGTAATGGGAACAACCCAAGAGGAAGAGATAACCATCATAAACATATATGCACCAAATGCCACTGCACCAAACTATGGAAAACAAATATTAACAGACATGAAAAATCAAATAAGCACTAATACAGTTTTAATAGGGGACCTCAATATGCCATTGTTACAAATAGATTAGACAAAAAAATCAACAAAGAAGTATCATAACTGAACAAACTTTTGTAAATGAGGGGGAAAAGGGTTGAAGCAAAGAGAATGAGAAAAAAAGAAGCAGCAAGATATATGGTGTACAGGTACAAATTCCCTAGGATGAGTGTTAGGTGTTATAACCCTTATGTATACCTAAAAGGTACCAATAAAGGTTTTGCTTCCCCCCCCCGGCAAAAAAAAAAAAACAAAAAAACAAAAAAACACATGCTAGATTTCTCTTGGTGCCACACAATACAGCAATTGTGAGTCATTCTTGTGAGTACCTTTTGGAAAAGAGCAGTTAAAGAGAAGCAATACAGGGTGGTCCTGGCACTCTAAGGGCCAGGGACACCCTCGCCAATGCTGCCAGTGGCCCAAGACTGCCCAGTCCCTCAGGGCCACAGGGTGCTCACCTGCACATCTTGGTGGTGGAATTGAACAGCTTCACCTTGTAGCCGCTGTTGCAGACCAGCAGGAAGAGCTCCTTGGTGAGTGGCGGGTACCACACCATGCAGGTCGGATGGTGGCCCTGGTCGATGCGGTGGATGTCCAGGACCTCCAGATGGTCCTTGTGGCTCTGGCTCAGGTTGTACTCGATCTGCAGAGCGGCCAGGGGACACCCGCGAATGTGAGCTCAGCCCCCCCGTGGGGGCGTGGCCTCAATCCCTCCTGAGAAGCCCCGACTCCCAGGTTGCTGTGCAGTGTGGGCAGGGAGGGGCGCCGGCTCACCAGGAGCCTGTCCCTGCCCAGGCTCAGCAGTCGCAGCTCGTTGCTGTCCAGGTAAACACCAAACAGGAGGCTGCAGATGCTCTGGCGATGGGAGCGGAGCCGTGCCAAGTACTCCCACACCCTCCTTCCGCCTCGGACCACCACCATGTACACGGCCACCGTGAAGTTCACATCCTGATGGAGAGCGGGACGGCGGCTATGACTCCTTTTCACTGGATGACTCAAGAATCATCATGGTGTTTTTCAAGCTAATTCTACTTTGAAAAATATCGTATTCAAAAAAACTTAGTCTATGAGAACAAGGAGGAAGAAAATGCCCGTCTTACAGATGAGATGTTAAGGTTCTAAGTAAATAAAGGGAAGAGGGAAAGTAGGAATCTGACACAATGGTCTGACATCTCTTCCGAGTTCCCACCTTGTCCTCTATGGAAAACCAAGAGTGAGTTCCCTTCACAAATGTCAGGCGGTCTGACACAGCCTGAGCAGGAGAGAGCAGCCTGAAGGGCAGTGGTCACCCCAGCCAGGCGTAAAGCTGTGGGCAAAAACCAGAGTGTGGCACGCAGGCGGCCACAGAGTCACTGTGCTCCCAGCAGAAAGACAGACCAGGGGCAGAGAGGGGGTGAGAGTGAGGTCAAAGGTCAGGAACGCTCTTTCCTGAGACCCCCAGGCCCCCATTCACGGGTTGGGGGGGTGAGCAGAACCCAAACACCGAGTCAGTTAGTGATGTCTTGTCCAAAAGGAGAGGGACAGCCCAGGATCCCAGCATTCTGGGAGGGCTGAGGCAGGAAACTGGCCCTGTTTTGAAATAAGAAATTATAAAAGAACCAGGGACGGAGGTCCGTGTGAAGTCCCTAGGTTCAATGCCACGCAGAGGAGAGAGAGAGAGAGAGAGAAAGGGAGAAAAAGAAAAAGGGAGGAAGGGAGGGAGGGAGAGAGGGAGGGAAATGAAAGACTGAAGGCAGAGATAGTTCTGAAACCTAACTAAGCCAGCCATCAGGACAATAAATGCTAAATCCAGAAATTCGGAGGCCCTGGCTCTCCCCTCTCCTTGTCCGTCGGTGACAGTCCTGAGATACAAAGGTCTGAGAGCCACACAACCCCTCCATCCGGGGCCTGCCCCCCAACCGATGTCTGCTTAGCAGAGTTGCGCATGCGCTGTTGCGATCCACCGCGCTCTTCCTCCACTTCCGGTCCCTGTCCTCTGGGGTCAAAACCACCAGCGCGGCCAGTGCCAGGACTTACGGCAGTCGCCATGTACTGGGAGTCGTGGGAGAAGCTGACGTGTGTCACGGTGCTTCTAGAGTACTTGAAAGGCTCTGGGGTCTCGTTTTGCAGAGACATCGCATCGAGAATGTACACTGCCCCCTCCGTGAAGCCAGCTCCCAGTAGGGCCCCTGAAGACACGGAGGACATGGATGGAGATGCAGAGAGCGGCGAGCCTGGGGGTGCGGGGTCCCCGAGAGAAGGGCTGGCTTTGGCCTGCGTGGGCACCCACAGGGTCAGAGGCGACTTCCGGGAGCCAGGGAGCCCAGGACCGGGCAGGGGATGTTACCTTCGGGGTTGTAGGTCAGGCTCTGGATGCCGAGCCCCTTCTCAAAGACCCTGCTGAGCAGGTATTTCTTCTGCTCGTAATCCCACACCTTGATCACCCCACACGTGCTCCCCACGGCCAGCAGCGGCTGGTACGGGTGGCAGGAGATGGCACACACGGCGTCCTTGGGCTCCACGAACAATTTCTCGAGTGTGGTGCCATCTGTCGTTAAGTGGTACACTGTGGCATCAGATGTTGCGATGATGAAATTCCTGTTTGCCGAGGAGACACCACACAGCAGGAGCGTTTGCGGGGAAGGGGGCAGCCAGCTATTCTGCTTCCCATTGCACACAAAACGCCCCTGTCGTCTGCAATTTAGTGACATTATTAACCCCACGTCTCTGAAAATACTGCAACAGCCAACAGCCTCCATTTGCAAGTGAAAAAAGCCCACTTTCCTACATGGGAACGGAGTCATTAAGTATGCAGATGGACAGTCGCTTGTACAATTAGCTAATCTGCACATGCAAATACTCATTTGTGTATGCAGATTCGGAGCTGGGTGCACACGTACAGATGTGCCTGGAAAGACTGCAAGGGGAATTCAGCAGACTCACAGATGATTTGGTCTTGAAATGTCAACGGCTATTAATTATCCAGTGCCTTTAACCGCAGAGGTCAGGACAAGCTTGGCCCAGAGAGAAGAGACCGACTGTGGGCCAAGGTCTGAAAGACCAGTGCTCCGGGGTAGGGATTTTCCAGGCTCCAGTTACCCTGATACTTTTTTTTTTTTTTTTTT